GACACCAAATGACACCCTAATCTACAAATGCTGACTTTCCCTAATTGCACCTTGACAGAGAGAGAGGCAAACCCCTCCTTTCTCCTCCAAGGACTGTCATTTAATTAACAGGCAGGCATCTCTCAGGATTTACAGCCCAGCTGCTACTCTCCCTACTCAGTAACTGAGGCCTACGAAGGCTCATTCCATTTATCTGTGCATTTCAATAACCTCATTTCTGCTAATCTCTATGCCAGCTTTCTGGATTTACCTCTCATGGACCGTGGAGAGAACAGTTAATCAAATGAACAGTCCCCATTTCAATTCTCATTCCCTTCCTGGTTCTTGATCTTAAATCTTTGTGTTGTAGGTGGCTTCACAGCAGAGCAATAGCTATGCTGGCACCATCACCAGGTTCTAGTTTAATCCAAGTCTCATTATTTGTCCTACAGATGTGACCAGATATAGCACAGATGAAAGAGATCAGAATCAAAGATGTTGAGGCTGGCTGGATATCAAGAAGCATTTAATCGGTTCCTCCTTTGTGAACTGGGATCATCTCTCTGCAACCCGTTCTTGACATATTTCCAACAGGTTCTTAAAAAAAAATCCAGTACTGGAGGTTCCCACAAATCCCAAGCAAGCCTTTCCAGTTCCTCCTGCCCTCCTGTCAGATGTCTGAGAGCAAGGGGGAGAACAATGTTGAAAGACCATCTTGCACATCTTGCCCAGATGGACATAGCTTCTGGTCCTTGGGGCCATACCATCTGTCCTGCTGGTCATGAGGAGCAGACTGGTTGCATTTTGGTTGTAGTTTTATTTCCATGGTGGGTGAAGAGGTAGGAAATAGTGTCTGTCCCTTCCAATTGTTTTTGTGGAGCATGCTAGGATCTAGCAAAATCCAAAGAAAAGGAGAGTCCTACTGAATGTTAGTGGCTGAGGGTCAAAATCAGGACCCCTGGATTTTGTTGCAGAGATCAATAGTGTCTGAGTTAACAGATGTATTTTGAGAGCTCAGCTTTGAGACACTTTGACTATTACAGATCAAGTACAGCTCAAGTGAAGGTAACAACAACAAAATGATCTGTACTCAGGGAGCTATACATACAAAGGAGCACTTGTGCCCTCTACTTTGACTCCACATTGGAAAGACCAGTTCTTCCATGAGATTACCCATTCAAATTGCCACAGATACCTCTATCTAGGCAAATTGCTACCTAAATCCCTTAATGACTTGGTAGAGAGGAGATCACACAAAACAGCTGTGCAGTTGCTGACGCAGGTGTGGATTCCCTGTTTGATGTTAGTCAGATCTCTGCAGATTTGGTGACTTCTCCAGCTTTGAGGCTCCACAGTGCCAGAGGAAGTGTTCTGCTGAGCACCTCCAGTGACAGGGTGTATAAACCGGCCTCCTGGACAAATGTCCCTGGCTACCCAATGGACATGAGACATTCAAAGACAACTGAAGGAGCTCTGTTTCAGAACATCTGCTCTTTAGTAAGTACCTTGTCTTTAAAACCTCTGCTCCTCTGCCAGTGAAAGCAAAACGTGGGGGTCAAACTGGAGAAAGAAACAACTGGAATTAGTGTAGGACCTACAGTATAACCTTCTGCTAGCCAAGGCTGCCTGGCCTGTTACCAAACAATGTACAGACAATGTGTGCGTTATATTAGCTGGAAAAAACAACTGTGTGATCTGAGTGCACCTAATGTCCTGCCCTTTCCCCATGATTGAACATTTCATAGTTCCTAAATCTTTCCTACACACCCACAGGCTGGATAGCAAAAGGAGAAAAGGGCTGTACTGCAGAGGAGGAGACATTGGATTGCACAGACAGCACTCCAGTATTTCAAGATCTGTTGTCACTGCAATTATCCATGAGAGGTTTTATCCTGAACTTGCAGAAGTGGAACTAAAACCCAGGGAGGAGTAACAAGAGGCTTCGGGCCATGCTGGCAGTCAGCAGCAGAACTTTCAATCTCCAAAGCTGGCTTTGCCCAGTTGTAATCAAAAGACCCTGCATGAAGCAGCCAGGTTTGGGAGAAGGATAAAGAGAGGGAGAATAGCTGATCCACAGTGAAGAACTCACTGCAAATCTTCTAGGGAGCTGGAATTGCTGCATCCATCACAGTTGCACAAAATTATAATGAATGAGGAATTAAATTCAGTTGTGGTGTTCATAGAATTACAGAATGGGTTGGGTTGGAAGGGACCCTAAAGATCATCTAGTTTCAACCCCTCTGCTGTGGGCAATGATATTTTCCATTACATCAGGTTGCTCAAAACTCCATCCATCCTGGCCTTGAACATTTCCAGGGATGGGGCATCCACAAATTCTCTGGCAACCTGTTCCAGTGCCTCACCACCCCCACAGTAAAGAATTTCTTCCTAATATCTAATCTAAACCTACTCTCTTTCAAATTAAAGCCATTACCTCTGTCCTATCACTACATGCCCTTGTAAAAAGTCCCTCTTCATCTCTCTTGTAGGCCCTTTTATGTAATGGAAAGCTGGTATTCCCGGAGCCTTCTCTTCTTCAGGCTGAACAACCCCAACAGTCTCAGACCTTCTTCATAGGAGAGTATTACTTTTGATGAATCACTTCCACTGGCCTGACCTGGCCTGGCCTCTCTATGGGACAGACTAGCCTTTTGGCTCAAGCTAGTGCAGCCCCCCAAAATCTGCAGGGCTAAAGAGAAGTCTCTCAGAGGAGAGACCTGACCACATGAACAGTCAGGGAGTCACAGATCCCCATGAAAATCTCATGTCACTAAGTTCAAACTGGGCAGAGGAAGAGGAGGAGGCAGGGAGGACAGTGAACACCCGACCTCAGCTAGCACTGCTCAGAGCTCTTTTTGTCTCCACTGCTGAGCGGGGAGCAGCAGCAGCTGGGACTGCAAAGAGCATAGATGTACTATACAAGCAAGTTTTACACTGTGGAGTGGCAGGGGCAGAGTGCTGGCACAGATGAGCTTTTGTACAGAAATGGATACACAGGCTCATGTGGTCCAGAACATCGCTTCTCCTTGTTGAGTATGGGTGGGCTGCCTGGCAGCACAGGCAGACGTGCTGCACATAGCCCAAGTGGAGCCAGCTCTGGGTAGTTTCTGAGTGCTGGGCAAGAGAATCCACATACAGACATGTTAACTCACTGCATCTGTAATGCTTCCCACTGGCTTTTGAGTTTGTGGGAAAGCCAGCGTGCCTGGCACCCCAGCTGTGCAGGGAAGAGCATGAGACAAGGGGCTGCCTCAAGTCACGACTCTAAAATTTTCCTGCAAATGGGATGGCTGCTTGTTCTTTGGCTGGAAAAAAGTCAAAGCTCCCAGCTTAGGGCATTAAGTTTAATAGTGACATTGGTGGAGATGCAAATGGGCTTATTTTCCCTCTGAGAAGGTGGAAAAGAGAAATAGAGGCCAGATCCTTAGAAAAATGAACAGAAAAATAAAAAAATGAACCTCAAATCTGAATCTGTCTTCCTGATTCCCCTTCAGTTCAAGACTGGCATGGTTTATTCTCTGCTGTGTGGGAGGATTTAGTTCCTATTGACAGATGAGCTAATCAGTTCCCCTCAGCTCTTGAAGCTTTATCAAAGCCAGTTAATCATGTTACTGATGTCTGCCCAGACCAGAGCTCTCCACTTCTGTCCTCCGCCAACAAATGCACACCATACGTGTGTAGGGATAACTTTTTTCCACTTTCAGTTCCACCAGCAAGAGGACATCACCAGTGGCTATTCAGCCAACATGTGGGTGCTGCCCATCTCTCTTTCAGCCCCTTTGCCACCACTTCTCCCTGGGGAGATGTGGTAGCATCTTATGAAGGAGCAGGATGATCTCTACAGGCCAAGCTCACCTCTCATTGCTAGCACAGTGGTGGCAACAGTGGGAGGAATTGTCCTTGGTTTTGGAAGGCCCAAGTCCCATGCTGGAAGGCTGCTGAAGCCAAGAGCCATTTGAAACCAGATACCAGGGTGTGCACTCCAGAATTCTGTCCCTGCCACTGGGTTTGTTTTACTTCTGTACCCAAATTTCACCAACTGCTGCTCTGTCCTGCTTCTCCTGAGGGCTGAATTGGTGGCTGTGATCCTTCCCTCTGGAATGGCTCCATCCACACACACACACACATTTCCACCAAGTCAAGAGGATCGCCTTTTCCCACTGACTTTTGGACGGCTCCTTCCACCTTTATACCAGTGATGGGAGGACCCAGACATGAAGTCGTCTCTGGTCCCGTTTTTGCTTCCTGTCAGGGTCACTTGAACTGATGTTACCTAGTGGCCTGTGCAGGTGGACACTGCTCAGGAGCACATTTGGAAGTTGCCGGTGTTCACCAGACTGTTTCAGTAACTGTTTCAGATGCTGGCAGCTGCGTCCCCCCATCCTGCAGAACTGCACTGGGGCTAAAGCCTGAGCTCCCAGGGAGACTTCTGGGGCCAGGCTGCCAACATCTGCTCTCCCTCCAGGCATTTGTACTGTGAGTGACATGGCTTCATCCTCAGAGCTGCTCTGTTCCAGTAACCTGACAAGTACCCCAGGCTGGTCCATGACCTGGTTGTAACCTGCAGCTCCAAGGTGGACCAAAGAAGGGGCTGCCACCTCTGCCTGGCAAAGATAATGGGTTGGAGAGCCAAGGAGCTGCATGTGGAGAGACCCTGCCATGCCCAACCACGGGGCAGTCCCTAAACTAGCTATTCCAGATAGAAGGGAGTTTCTCTAAAGCCTTATACTTCCCAGCTTCCCCCAGACCTCCCCAGCCACTTTTCGATCTGAGGTGAGATTTGTTTCTCTGTGGGTTCGCTGCAGGTCCCTCTGCCATCCCAGCCAAGGAGACCCTCTGGGGGCACCCAGAGGAGGAGAGAGGACAGTAAAGAAGGTGCCATGAAAGCAAAGAGGAGGAAAAGCCATGGATGCTCAATCCAAGCCAAGCTGTATGGGCTGGCTCTCCATGCCATCTCCTGCTCCTCTCCACAGGTGAGCAAGTGGGCGCCCTTGGCTGCGCCATGAGACACGATCACCCACCTATACAGACAATGTCCATGAAGCCGTACATTCCATAGCAGATCTGGAAGAGCAGGTCCTGGCGCTGCCATTTGGCTGAAGGACTGAAGGTCGACCAGATGAGCCACGAGATACTGGCAATGAGGAAGAGGGAACCCAGGATGGCCGCTGCTATCTGAACCTTCTCAATGACTGTCAGAGAGATGGCCTGCCACTGCAACAGGAGGCAACAGGGAGAGGGGACAACAGGGAGGGAGGAAGGAAAAAAGATAAGACATAAGTTACTTGGGGCACGTCACTGTTTTATATCATTGTGGTGGTTTTGGAGATCTCAAAGAGCACCTGTAAGCATAGGTGATTTTACCTGGTCCACATCTGGGAAGGAGCATGGCAGTTGTTCACCAGCACATGGCCCCATGTTTCCTGACAGCACTGATTAAGAGGCAATGGAGAGGAATCCTGCATCTCACCAGTAAAGCATAGAGATTTGAGCGAGGCATGACAGACAAGGGTGAGACACCAAAAATAACATCCCCATGACAGTAGTTCTGTGATGGTGATCACAAACCAGGAAGTTCAGTTGCTCCCTCAAATAGAGGCCAGACAGCATCCTCAGCCAGGGCATCCTAGCACATAAGCATCTCAGAGAGCCAAGCTTTCTTTCAGAGGCCTCACATGAGCTGGCTCTGTGCCACTTAGTGAGATCTGGCAGGATCACAGCCCTAGGTAGGATCTTGCAGCGTCAATGCACATCCCACAGAACTAGCTGCAAACAACACAAGTTGCTCTGGTCAGGACACCCTGCCTTTAGGTGATGACAAATTCAGGCTGTATTCCAAAGTAAACGTCATTGCTTCTTCCTCAGAAGAAGAAAAAAATAGAAATAACTCCCCCAAATCCATTCACTATGTCAAATAGCTTTGTACTAGCTACATTATAAATATCCTAAGCCTGGACTCCTCTCTGTCATCCAACATAAAACCTCCCCACTCGGATTTACACTGCTGAGAAAACTGCCCTATAAAACCAAGAGCAGAAATTGGTGTCTTTAACAAGACTTGGGGACGTGGTCCATAGCTTCTCCTTCAAATCAAAAATCAAGCACGTAAACAGGCTGGGGAGAGACAGTCTCTCCTGGCATCCAAGTATATAGGCCACCTCTAGCTGTGAGATACATGCCCTTGAAATCGCAGTGGGACTGGCAGAAGGATAAACAAAGACGGACTTCAACCTCCTGCAGGTATAGAATATTCAGAGGAATTGAAAATGTTTAGCCTAGATTCCACCCAAATCCAGTGTCCCCATGAAGTGTCAGCTCTTCTGAGACCTCAGCACCCTGCATGATTGTCAAACATATCCTAGGACAGCAGGGTCACCCGTCAAGCTTGTCCCATCCTTCTGCAGGGTAAAAAGGAGTTCAGTTGCTGGGTTACTCTTTAATGCCCAGGTCAGTCAGGAATTAGGAATGTTTTTTGCAAGGTAGGGAGGACTTTGAACCCTGATTGAAGTGCAAGAAGGATAAGAGGTGGCTTGTCTGGTACAGGCATGCGTGGCATTGCTACCAGTCCAAAGACCAGACCCCTGAACTGAATGCTCTTCTCTGAAAAGGGCTGGATTTGGAGAAGAACAGATGAGAGTTTCAGCCTGAGGCTGAGGTCTGCGGGCTGCAACTGGAAGGAGATTGCTCTGCCTCTGCCAGCCTTGTTCCTTGGCTTACATCCTGCAAGGGCAGACAGCCCTCAAATCGTCCATCATGGATGTGCAGCATCAGTGAGGTGGGTGGTACCAGCCTTTTCGTAGTTGGCCACAGAGTAAATGGCCATAGAGCTGCTGAACAGAGAGAGAGCTTGTTCCCTGCTGAAGCAGGACTGGGTTCAGCTAAACCCAATCCCCCCTCTGGGCTCACTAGCCCCAGTCCCCTTCCTATCATCTGCCTCAGCAGCTGGCCCAGCCAAAGGCAAACACCAAATACTGGGGACACTCAGTGATCCCTTCAACAGCCCATTCCCACTCTGCCACAGCCCAAACTGCTCCATGCCTCCACCAAATCCAGCCACACAAGTGGCCTCTTTGTGCCACTAAGATGTTGACGTAGTGAACAGACTCCCCTTAGGGCTGGAAGCTTGGTGGTAGCAGTCCCAATGGGTCAAGGTAGGGTGCATAGGTGCTGGAGGTCAAAGAAAGGCCACAGCTGTGCAACTCCTCTCTTGACATAAAAGAGAGCAAAGGCCACCTAGCACCCATTGCCCCCAAATTTGTTTTCTGAGGGTGGGATCAGCAGCTATGCCTTCCTCCCATCAGCTCTTCCGCTTTGTTCTCAACAGCACTATAAGCCAATGCAGGACAAATCTGCAGTGCCATCATCTCAGAGCTCCAGGACTAAATGCATGTGCCAGGAAGGGCGCTTAGATATGTGTGTGGGGTTGCACTTTCACTACTGCAGCTTTCCCCAGACCTCATTTCCCTATCCAATAACTGGCTAATGCTGAGGGGAAGGGAGTGGAGGAAGCACAGGCTGGTGCTGCGTGCGAAGGCTTTCCTGCAGGTCCCTCACACTGACCCGCGTGCGCCTGTGCCAGCCAAATCATTCTGCATCATTTCTCTCTCTCGAGGAGGTAATGGACTGACTCCTCACCATCTGTCTGGCACACTGCAAGGCCTGTGGTGGCAACAGGTCCTTCCAAGGTAGCAATTAAAGACAGAAAAAGAAGAAGGAACTGCTAGAACAACTAGCAGCTATGTACAACCAACACCACTGTTTTGCAGAGAAAGGGAGGCTTAGGTGCAGTACTAAATACGCAGTCAAAGGGGATGGGACTCAGAGCGCAGAGAAGTCACATCTGGGTGCAAACTTCAAACCCTGCTCCTCTCGGTTGGGAACAGAGAAGCTGGAGCAGCAGCAGGGACACTGCCTGACACTGCTCAGCTGGCAGTGGCTGCCAGGAAGTTTGCTGTGGTGATAATGAAGAGGCTGGAGTCTGTCAGCCGTGCCAGGGGGCAGGAGGCTCTCCCCCTGCATCTGGCACTAAGTGACAGTGACACACACAGCGGCAGTCCTGACTCTGTTCAGGAGATGGCACTGGGGTGTGATTACCCTCTGGCAAGGAGGTAAATGGGTCAGAGCTGAACACTGGGGAAAATAACCAGCTTGCAGAAGAATTTAATATTTTCCAGGAAAAAAAAATAAAGTAATAAGTATTGTATTTCTTCTCTGGCAACCCCAAGAACTGTGATTTAGTGCCCCACATCTAGCTTGAGCCACCAATAACCAGAGTAATTATTTCTCATCTTTTAATTCCATTTTGCTACACAACTTAGGGTATGAGGTTTTTGAACAGAGAGGAGAAAAGGGGTGAGACAGAAGATAAAGCCTTTTACCCAGTGAGTGCACACACAGAAGGGTCCTCAGAAGAGCTGTTCAGAGGTGGAACGTGCAGATGAATTCCAGCTGCAGGAGCTGGGCTTGATGTGTCCCTGCATTTCTGGCCTTGGGAGCCCACCTCAATCACAGCACTGCGCCTTTCAGATTTCATAACAGCCCTTAGAAAATCACCTCTTTTCTTAACCTCTCTCCACTGCCATTATGACCAGCAGATCAGGGATTTGGCAGGTGACCCTGTTAATCCTTGGGTCACCACTAGAGCTGCAAAGGAAGGTCTCAGCAGCACTGCAGTGTCCCTTTACTGGTACATCTAAAACCCGCAAAGCTCTTTGTCTGAATGCCTGGCTGCATACACGACCCCCTCCCTCCAAATCTTCAGCTCAAATGTTCAAGCTCTAGCAAGATCACAGTGTCAAGCAATCCAACCTTGTGGGGATAGATCTAAAGATGAGCCCTTCTTCCTTCGGCTGATAATGACTGTTGAGTTCTCAGTAGCTACTGGGCTGCACTGAAGTGCACCATTAACAACGAGCTGCTCACCCAGGTTGTCAGTCAGGGATGTGACCTTTAGGCAGGTAGAAAGCTCTACAGATGCTCTGTCAGGGCAGAATGGGACAGAACTAAGGACTTGGTGGTACCAGAAAGCTTTAAAGGCTTCTGCAGGATAACAGGAGCAGCTTTGTGAGCTCCAGGCTCTCAATGGCTTTAGAGCATGCCCATGCAGCTCTCTGTGATGGTTTGCCATCCACACTGGAAAAAGGGCTCCAACCCTCCGACCCGTTCTGAAGAAGCTGTCTGGAGCTGTCTGTCTGTCCTTTGCTATCACCTCCCTTGGCCAGGTGCTTTGGCACACCACCCACATCTGCAGGTGCGATACACCACTCTCTCTCAGATCAATTTCCCCAAGTTTCTCCATTTTGCCCAAACTGCAAAGCTCTGCAACCCAGATGCCTCAGAAATGGTTTCTTAGGAGTCCAGGTCTGACATTTGTGATGACCATAGCCAGGGGCCCAGCTGGGACCAGTGCCTGCCACTCATGTAACTCATTCTCTTGCACTGTTTCATAACCTGCGTGTAGTACTTAGGACAAACCTGGTTCTCTGTTTGCTTCGGTGCTTCTGCTTGAAGGCTTGGAGTGAAAACCTGCAACTGCTAATGTAACACAGATGAATAATGTCATTACTATAATATTTAAGGCTTGATCCGTATTTCTCTTTCTTTGGCACCAGTAGTCTTCAAAGGTTCCCAAGCACCAGCACTGATAGATTCAAGGCAGCTATTGCCTGCATAAGATGTCTATGTCTTGCTGCAGCAGCTTGCAAAGAAGCCTTGTTTGCTGGAAAAGCCTTCCTACACTCCCCTGAGAGCTCCCCCATGCCTGCCTCAGGCAGTTCAGTTTATTTTTATTGCTATATCTGACACATCCCCTTAATACGTATCATTAACATCCTGAGCTGTGCTAGCCAGCAATTTAATTCTCAGACCCAGGGTCACAAGCAAGAACAGCTTTTTCCTAGAAGGTTGGAAAGGATCATTTCCAGCACTGCTTAGGTCTGGCTCTCTCCTTGCTGCTGTCCCAAGGCCCTGGCCATCCTCCTCAATTATCTTTTGGAGGATGGCTTTTCTTTTTATAAATTCACCAAGCAAAGTTATGCCACCTCTGTGGCATAGCCTCCCTGCTGTACACTTAGAGATGCTGTGGCTTATTCAGATACTAGAAAGGCAACAGGGAGGAGGGAGGGTCCAGTAGAGCCAGGTAATGGAAACGTGCAGTGATGAAAACCTCTCTCTTCCATGTGCCAGAATATTTGGTAAGACTAAGCATCGATATCCTATAAAGTTCCTGTTATAATGCACAGGCCAGGAAGTCTCTCTTGCAATGATGGCACTCACTGCTTGCAAGCTACAGCTGAAGCTCAGCAGGGACCAGGCAAAGCTCACACTCAGCACAACCAATTCAGCAGGATGGGACAGCCAGGAGACATCAGTAAACTTGCCTCAAGCTTTTTAGCTCAGGACCTCAGGCTGAGGTTCAAACACCCTGTGACCTCAGGGTGAGTGAAGTTCAAACACCCTGTGAATGCAGATGTGAGTGTCCTGATGAGGAGGCCATATAAGAGCACTCATCAGCTCTTAACAGTGCACCACCACAGACAAAACAGAGCCAGAAGAGATCGGATCCCAACCCCAGCACTGGATAACTGAGAATCTTTGGAGCTGAAACAGCCCACAACACAGGAAGAGTCAGTGATACCAACTGTAAATCAGTTGAACTCTCCAAGACTGCAGACAGTTGTAGGTCTGGGAAGGTTGGTTCAAACAGATTTTCTATTTGCTAAATAGAAGCAAATAGAGCATCAGAGTGGATGTGGCTCAGGAGCAACTACAAAGGATCTGTATAGATTAAATACACTGCAGAGCCACTCCATGGCAGATACCTGTTCCACCATGTATCAGCACCAGGGTGCAGGCAGTACTATCATGTGCTTCTAAAAACCTGTGTCTTCAGGGTCTTTTTAAAATCATGGGCTTTGCACAACTATTGTGCAATATCGGAGAGGAGCATTTAAAGCCTCCACGCCCATGACTCCTGTCTTGGTGACTGGAAGACTGGAGAACAAGAAAATGGATGGATGGATGGACAAAAGCTCTGAATCTTCTGGTTGCTCACAGATGGTGGGATATTTTTGCTCATTTTCTGTTTGACTGCTGCTTGGCAGGACACCTGCCATGTTGTCTAACAACTTTAATCCCCCAGTCTCAGCAGGTCAGCAGTGTTGCTGCTTTAAGACCTTTGCTCTTAAATGCCTGCAGTCCAGGGAGAGGAGATGGAGTGGGTTAATTTATAGAGAGTAATTCTGCCAAAATACCAGACTAAAGGTCTCTCTCTGGTATGAAACATCATAATAGTCTGGAGGCTGGAAGGAGTCTGTGTTAATTATGCATGAACCTGGCTGTAACTTCTCTGCCCACACCATGGGTCTCCACACACATCTGGCCCATGCTGTGCTCCTAAGCACTCCAAAAAATGTGCAGATATCAAAATGGGCAGAGAAACATGCAGATCCTGGGGAATATGTGGGTGTTGGATGTGCTGCTCTGCTCAGACCAACTGGACAGGCTTCAGGGAGCCCTGGACCTGCCAGCTGCCTGGGTTTGGCGTTCCAGCAGTCTATCAGATGAGAGGACACAGGGGATAGGTAGGTCATGTTGTTGATTAGAATCCAGGCAGGCTCACATCATCACCCAAACAGTATTCATTTGACAAGGAGGTGAGGTTTTTGGGTCCTTGCCTGTATTATGGTTGGTCTGGAATAAACAGATGACCATGGCTTCTTACAGCATTTCTGCTCCAAAAACTGTGTTTGAGAAATTCAGACATTTCTAGTAAGAATAAAGCTGGGCAGAAGTTCCAGCAGACCCTGAGAAGAAAGGTTAGGGACTTTGAGGCTTTACTTAGAGATATGCTTGTATGTCCAGCTGGCCCATGTTATGCACGTGTAGGGTGAAGACTAAGCAGAAAGGATGCTCTTCTCACCTGCACATGCTGTGACGTTGTTACAGGACACAGTGTCAGGGCATTGCAGCTCCTGTGTCCTCTCTGCTTCCCTTTTCCCGGCATCTCACCAGATGGTGAGAGCCACTGAGGAACAAGGCATGCGTAGTGATGGGTTATGGGGGGCCCAAGCCTTCAGTCCTCATGGGAAGCCCAGGCCTAGTGGATCAGCCACTTTTCACAGCATTTTGGAAACTAGTGCTAGTGTAGCATCTGCTTCCCAGCAGTGCCTTTGTGCTGTCACCACACAGGCATCCAGGCACGCAGCTGTAACTCTACACACGCTGCATTTATTCCGAACCAAGAGGCTTTTCACTCCAGTTGCCAGAGGCTTTTCACTCCCACCCTTCAAATCTCCCAGTGCTTCTGCGAGAAGTGCTGTGAAGTCTAAGTCAGCAACATGAAGGTCCAAGCTGGGATCTGTACAGTCCTCTGGAACCTTTGCTCTCCAGAGCTGAGCTCTCTAACTCAGTTGTTCCTGCCACTCAGTTTTTGTGTTCATGGCAAAGGCCAGCAGATCAGGCCACTTTCTGACAGGGGAGCCCAGAAAGAGCAATGCTTTGCACAGGCTCTGAAACATGTATGTGGGATGTGAGTTTGTCTGTGAACAGCTCCAACAAATTTTAGCTGAGTGAGGAATGGGAAGAAAGTCACTGACCTACTGCTCTAAACAACTTGAAAGTGCAGAGCATTTGGAGGTCATTAATTAAAGGCAGTGCTGGCAACACACACGCTCCCAAATCTGCACCCACAAACCTTCAGTGCTGCTCAACATCAATCCTTGACTTGAGATGTAGGAAGCATTAGGGCAGTCAAGGAGCAGCTTTTCAGAAATAAACAAATGCTGCTTTGTCCACATCCCTCCTCCTGTGTTTCAATCTGTTCTGAGTTACTAGGGCCAAAAAATTGAAACACTCTGGGTCTGAGGCTTGGGATTAAACTACTGATATTTCCAGACCATGGCTCACGGAAAATTCAATCAGAAGCTGTAGGGACTCTCAGAGACCATGCAGGCTTTTTTCTTTCCAACAGCAAATCTTACCCATGATGCTCTCCTAATTTCCCTATTTCATTTAAGTCTGAAATCCTAAAGGGTTGTCCCTGTTTCTTCACTGTGGTTAGTGACCTCAGGCCTGGAGAAAGACACACGGAGGCCACAGTTTGAAGCAGAGAGCAGGAGTTTGCATTCCCCCTCAACCCTGTACAACCAGGGACCATCACTAGCACAGTCCTTGCCTCCTGGTAGAGAATGACCTGCAGAGAGCCAAGAACTGTACAGACCGACATCCCTACAGACATCACCCTGGTCTCTAAACCACTGTAATGTCTCTCCAGTCCAGATGATGCTGATTAAGCAGTAGTGCCTGGATGTGATGTGCTTCCTTACCTCTGAGGCATTAATGGTACTCAGCAAAGGCATGCAGCAATTAATTCATCTTCAGGTGTTGCTCCCACAATAAATCAATAGCTATTAAGGATAACTTATCCCACTTTTAATAGTCACACAGTTTTCCCCTTCTGAATCTTGATTTTAAATTACCAGTCTGCAGTGGGGCCTATTAAACCACAATGCTTTTGAACTCAGAAGAGAAAGAAGGTGGGTCCTTGGATGACTTTCACAGCCACTTACGTCAAGATGTGCTTTACCTGTTGTGTGCACATCTCCAAAAGCTCACCAAGAATAAGGCTTGGAGAGACCAGAGTATCAGAGTCAATACCCCTTGTGCCATGCCACAATCATGGGAGAGCAGTAAAGTGAAAAAGGTGGCAATAGGAGAATTGTAAGAACCCTCCATCTGCCTCCTTCATCCTTCATGCCAGCAGAGAGGAGTCTCAGCAGGAGGAGATCAAGGTTGATGGAACAACTATAGACAAGTAGAGTCTCATCATACTCTTCTGTCACTGTCACAGACTGTGTCCTCTGTTGCAGTAAATCTCATAATGGCTCTGCCCCTGGAGACAGGGGTCTCCAGTGGATGAACACATTTGAATGGCTATGGGGGTTACAGCACTATCGTGGTCACACTGGAATTTTCAACAAAAGGCAAGTGAATGTAAGAATTGCCAGGGACAAAAGACAAAAAAAGCTGATTCCTGAAGGATTCCCCTGGAATATGGGGCCTCTTTGAACCAGCCCCTGACGACCCTTTCTAAATGTCTCAGACATATGAATCCCTGTGCACAAGGAAGGAAAACCCACACAGGTAAAATCCACTTGCTCCCAGAAACAAAAACTGAAACAAGAATAAATAGACTTTGAAATGTCTCTAGTACCTTTACCTGCAGAGGGTTCTTTGTGCTTATGGCAATGACGTGATACTTGTAGTAACACAGCTCACAGCTCCAGCAGCCTCTCTCGCTAATCCATTTGATCAGACATGGCTGGTGCGTGCACTTCACCGATCCATCGCATCGACACGGGCTCAGCAACTCCCCCTGAAAGAGAGAGACAGCATCAGCAAAGCTCCCCTCCTCCCCTCATCTCACAGGCATGGCACAGCACAGCACGATGTGGCACAGCACGGCCCGGCAGAAGTTCCATCATCCACCAATTTGATCTTTGTTCCTTTTTACCTGGTTTGGCTTAGGCAATCATGCTGCCTCCATTCATTTTCCCTCTAATAATGCTTGGCTGATGTGAACAGAGATTGACAGGGATGTAGTGGTCTCAAATACTTGGGTCTTACATTTTTTTGTGGGAAGAGACAGCTGGGTAGATTAGAAGTGCCTAATCACCACTGAAGGAAAAGCTAAATGAACACAACTCTTACTATTCACTAGAGGACCCACACTAGACCACAACCAGCGAACACAGCTCTGCTGGCAACTGGATATCACTGGTACACTGCTCAGGTTTCTGTTTCTCTGCTACCTGTTTTATAAAGTGAGGTTGGTGGTGGGTATAGCTGTGAGACAGCCTCTGCTGCAGACTGGAGTCCCGCTCAGCCCAGGGCGGCTTCCTCAAAGCCAGGCAGGCAGGAGGGCGAGCACAGATGTGGCAGCCCTTGGAATTTCTGTGCAGGCTGGCTTGTGCCAGCTGTGGAGGTGCTTTTCCTCCCTGTGAGCTGGCTTGAGCCCAGTGCCATGCAGTAATTCCCAGGACTTGGTAAGCAGTGGGCATTTGCGGTGTTAGACACAAGACTCTCCTTCCCAGTGCTCCCAGACATGGAGGGACAAACCTGACCATGGGTGGCAGGTGTGTGCCTGGGGTCCAGGTTTTTGTATACTCATAGTCCATCAAGGAAAAGGTCCTCAAATTTCACTTCCCTCTCTGTCCACTTCCTCCAGGCAGTCATACCAATGCATAGCCCACAGGGCTGGCTCTTTGCACCCTAGGAACTAGCAAGATGGAGAACAAATTGTGTCCTGGATTGTGACAGAGATATTTATGAGCGGTGGCCAAAACACTGAACCTCCTGGCTTGCTCACTTTTTTCTGGCATAGCTTTAAATAAGGTATCCAGGAAAACCCAGTATTATTCTGATCCATCTGCTATTTTCCTGTTCCCCATGGGACTAAATTCCTCTCTGCACACAAGCTCAGGATCTCATTTTAGTTTTTTGCTATCACTTTATTTAGGGAAGGACAAAGCCATTACATTTTAGTCCTCAACTCTTAGTGTTTAAAAGCCACAGTAGAGACCCCAACAGTGTATTTAGCTGTGCTTCAAGATTTAAAAGCTTTTAGAGGCAGAATAATACCTATGGGACAGGGAAGGCTGGCATCATACTTTCAGTGTTGGGGAGATGAAATCTGCTCTTACACCCACAGATTAGCCCCATCATTATCACTGATGGAGCACTAGGACAACTGACCCTGGATTTGGACACTGGTGGATATGGTAAAAGACACCCATTCCAGCTGCCTCGGATTAGGAAACGGATCCTGCTCTTGCTAACCCTAGTGGGAAACTACCTCAGCTTCCAGGTCACTACATCAGGTCTCAGGACTTGCAGAACTGAACACCACACCGGGCAAAGTGATACCCCTTTTTATGAAACCTAACGCAAACATGTTAATTATTTGTTTCAGCTAGGTGACCTAGAAATGTCGTCTTCTATGAAATTTTAGCAAAACCGTAAATAACTGCTTATGTTACCAAACCAGCCTCAGCTCTACTTGGTACTTGTTTTCATTACACACTGGAGGGGACGCAAAGGAGGGTTGCAGGGCCCATGAACCTTTTTCACCTGGGAGGGGGGAACAGGACAAACCAGAAGAAGGGAAGCAGAGAAGGATTAGATGGGAGAAAGGAGCACGTGGGAAGGACCATTTGGCATTCAAACTCCCCATGTGAGGTCCAATTTGAGGGCTCAGGTTCAGCTGTGCATGTTTTTGACCTTTGACGAGACTGGGATCTTGTTGGAACAGCACAAGTGTGGTAAGGAGCCAGCATTGGCACATACTGCCACACAGGATGCAAAAGGGAAAGGATCAGAGCTTAGCACAGCTACTCTGATTCCCAGCTTGCCAACCTCTTCCACACCAAGAGCTAGCCTCGTACAAGGACCCCTGCTCTGTGTCTCTGGTCTACCCTTCTCATCTCAGACCCTGGTGCCTTATTTTCTCAACAGCTTCATTCCTCAGCATACAAGTGCATCCCCAGCAACAAGGAGGTAGAGCAGAAACCTCCCAGCTCTGCAGCATCCCTGCCTTTCTTTCCACCTCACTGCACAGCAGGGTCTCCTGCAGGGCTCAAATTGGTTAAGTGCGGGACCTGGGTTTTGTCTAACGAGCAGCTGGAGGCATCGGTGATGGAGGATCAGGAACAGAGCAGAATGGAGCAGGAACTAAGAGCAACAACCTCCAGGCAAAGGCAGAGGAGAAAAACGGTAGCTGCAGCCTGGACTCAAGTTGAGTCCTTCTTCTTGGGCTCTGTAATAATTGATCTATGAAATCTGAGCTTATCTCTTCAGAGTCAAGAGATGTTCATAGACACCCTACACTTCCATGGGCACCCAGTTCCTCTTCCCTAACTGGGATGCTCCAACCTAGACAGTCCTGCCAGCTCTTGTAACCTCAGGACTCAACTGTGGACATGAATCCCCCAGTTACTTCATTTTTGCAAATCCAGCAAAAACTCTATTTATCACATTTTCTCCAGCCGTGTGAAATATTATATCCTTGCATGTGGTGCACAGCTATTTTTGCATACTGTGAAGCCCAATTCTGTCCACAGCAGGAATTTGTAAAACACTGCCACATGCACACACGCGCACATGCACTCCTGTACCAGCAGAAAAACAAACACCAGGGGCATATTAAAGGAATAAATCCTTTGTACAGCAAAGGAGAAGGAGTCTCATTGCTGGCTGTACAGAGAGCTCAGGAACAGACCATCAGCTGTGATACACAGGAAGGATTCACTGCACAGAGAGTTCTGCTGCTAAAAGCTACATGAACATAAAAGCAAGCCTAAAGTGTGATGCAGATCACAGCAATCGGAGATGGAAATTAAATCCCCATGCCTGTTTCTGCAGGTTTGTAGAAGATGGCTCTGCATAACATATTCTCCAGTGCTCAAACAGCAGCATTCCCACCAATTCCCTTTGGGGACTGCTCTCCAAAGACCCTTTGAAGGGTCTATTTCCTATTTCACAACACTTATTTTTGCAATTTTGCTTTGTAGAGTTACATCTCATCACTGGGATGAGCCTAAGCAGCATTTCTTCTTTGTCAGCAACTGGTGGAGAAATGCTCCTCAGCTGCAAGCTTCCTCCTCAGCTTGCTCAGTACCATCTTGTTCTTCTGAAACAAGCAAGTGCGCTTTGGATTTAGGGCACTTGACTTTTTTTTTCTGCTGTTGTCTAAGTCTAAATTAGAAAAAAAACAGAGTTAAGAAAAAGTGAAGGGTGGTCTGGCTTCAGCCATAACCATCTCAACATATGCAGGAAATACTCTTCCCTATGTATTACTCTTCCCTACCTCTGGGGAGAGTAATATATTAAGCAATTATTTATAATATTGTTTCCTATTTCTGGCTTTAATGGGAGCTCGTCTCTAGGAGCAGCAAGGGCAAGGCCAGGCTGAACTGGCTTTACCCTGAGGAGGACAGTTCTGCTGGAGATGAACCAGGAGTGCAGGTCTGTTCCGGCTTTATCCTCTCCTTCTGAATTCCCAATCTGTACCCATTGCAGTACATCAAAGTGGTTAATGATTATCTGGCCACTGCTATTTTAAGCCTACTGGGAGGAGTGCTGAGAAAGGATGGGAAAAAAATTATCGCCAGTGCGTGCTTCTGGTGCTCAGTATATCCAGGGGAAAAATAACCACGCCAGGAGCAGCATCACCCCTGTGGAGTGCTGGTGGCTGTGTTTCACCTGGCCATTTTACTTGTCATTTCTCAGTGCTGGGAGACCATCCACACATTGCTACCACAGCTGCAGCTGCTCACCCACCAGCAGGCAGACGTGGGATATGTTTCTTGGGCCTGGTCTTTTAACTGCAATTAAGTATAGCAAATTTCCCCACCCAGTCTGCTTTAAACACAGCAGGGCTGGGGACAATGGTGTAACCAGGCCAGGATGTGGCCTTCTGGGCTGGCCCAGCTCCAGCTGTGCTAACCTACGTCTGCAGCCTGGGTTGCTCCTAAGCACCAGCTCAGCTGGAAACAGCCCAGTTATCAACATCCTGCTACCACAACCATTAAAGCAAACATTTTGAAAGTCAGTGCAAGCTGTACAGAAAACCAAGATAGCTGACGGTGATCTTAAGACCTGTAGTTTTTCTTCACCAGCTTAGGTGTGTAAAGTAGCATGAACATCACCCACAGGACCAGTGCCCTGGACAGGTCAATGAGAAGATGCTGAAGGAGTTGTCCATATGACAAGGGCTACCATCTCTCTGGATGTGCACATGCAGCTGCTCCTGATCACAGATCTTCACACACGGATCTGACTGCTAGCATTTATCTGAGTTTGTCTTGTTTGGAAAAGGAAACCAGGAATATTTAATTTCATGTCTTCAGCTGTGTCTCCTAAATATACTTAAATCTTCACATTGAATTTAAATGCAATGGGAAGTTTTATTATGGCAAATAAATGCCAAATGATTTCTATATTAGGAACATAATTACCGACAAATTAAGTCCGATGGCAAAGAGAAACCCATTTTTGCAGAGCTGGTAAACTTCAATAAACATCTACTAATGATCACTCTGTCTTCACACACAGTTACAAGAGCTGCCCTTCCATCCTTTGAAATTAAACATGTATGTTACTACCACCAGCTCAAATGCTTCCCGTGAGTACCCTCATGAGTGCAAGCACTGTGCCAACCAGCAACAGACAATGAGGGACTTGAAATAGGTATCTATGTGTATGTGTGTGTGTATGTATATATACGTGTATATGTGTATATATATATATATAATGAAATTCTCCAGCACTGGGGGAGATTGATGCAGAGTGTGAACCCGGAGAAGAGCAGACTTAGGT